TAATTGTTGTGTTTACGATATTAATTACCATAGTTGGTAAAGCGATTTCCGATTGAGAAATTGTACGCTGAGGCTGACGATCTCATTCATAAGGTTTGTCCCATATATGAGAAGCAGCGAATGGTGGGAGAAATCAAGGTATATATTGCTAAGACTAGTCGCGCTATTGTTAGAGAAAGAAAGGGTTTTTGGCGACGATTTCAGAAGGTATAACATTTAGTGTTAGAGCTGATTGTAATTTTGTTTTATATGGGTTTCGTTGATCTTAAATCCTCTTCTTTAATTAATTTTCATAAGCAACCATCCTCTGAGGAAACGGCAAGGAAGGGCCAGAGTAAAACACACGTGTCGAATGGATTGGATGAAACTCTCGACTTGTTGCTCACCATGGTATGTTGCTGATCAATTGTATTCAATCGCTTCATTATTTTTTTTCTCCATCTTGTTTTATTGATTGGTCTTTAATGATTAGGTCGATGTGTTCAATAGCCAGTGGAAAAGGGAATATGCCCCTTTCTTTATTCGCTCAGACTAAAAGGCAACGGACTATTAGTAGCTAGCTGTTGTGCCAAATTGGAAAATGGGATTATTTGGTTTTGTTTGAAGTTGGGGTCTTATGTACTTATTAGCAGCTTTTTTTTTGTCTTCGTAGAAGTGAGGATAATGACTTTAGATAATTGGATTTGTACTAGAACGTCAAAATCATCAAACCTCCTTTTACAGCATTTCATTTGTATATATCTGATAATAGTAATAGAATGAAGCATGAAGTTGTATATTTAAGTTAACCTCTCGCGCCTGATTTAATTCTAGTCTCAGTTTACCCTTAGAACAAATAGAGAGGAGAATAGTAGGAATTTTCTATCGATATCTTGTGAATGTGTAAAGACGACTGAACTTTTCCCGGTGAGAACCGCAACTTGACAGTGGCTGTCTGAATGTTGATGTTTCCTTTCATGATTTTTTTTTCTAAAATTATTTATTTAATTTGACACCCTAACCTTGAGCTTCTTGCATTTCCCAAAAATTACCATTAGGTTTCTCTCCATCAGTGTATTTTGTGGTGTTGATTGTAGTCGATTTGTAAATTGATACATTTTATTTTCGTAGTGGTGATTTTTTAAGTAGTTGGTGCTGTGGTTATATATGGCCAGTTCGTTGTTTTGTTGATCCATTTTTGTGCGCGTGCGCATAGCTAGCAAAAAACTTGGAGGTACGAGGCCACATCCTAAATTTGAAGTCAGAGAAGGTCCAAAGTAAAATATGCGCAGGCACGACTATAGCAACAACGTTTGTGTGTAGATGCGCTATGAAATCTGCCTCTGTATCTGTCTACCCTCTTCCAATCATCTTCATTCTCCTCTGCAAGAAAATCTTCAAGATTCTCTTAAAGAACTTTAATTCAATTCGATTTCTAATTTGGGTATTTCTTCAGCGGCGGATCTCCATAGGATCTCCAGAGGAATGGAATGGTTTCTTCACAAGAAATTAATGGTACGTAATATTTCACCATTTAGTTTTTCTTTTTTTCCCCATACATTTCACTTGTTTTTGTTCTGCTTTGAATGCTTTGAATATATATCATCAGGTTAAGTCTTTTTTCTTTTTTTTTTTCAATTACAACACTTTGTTATTTTTTTCTCTTTTTCTTTGAAACCCAAAAATATGGCTGCAATGTCCTCTCCCCTCTGTTAGTTTCGATACAAGTCAAGCTACAACTCAAACTTACGAAAATTTTAAAAATCAGTGTCTTCAAATTGTTACCGGTTCAGAGCACTTAGGGATGGGAGTGTTGTGCCCTCAACCTCCGAATCCTAATGATTTGAGCAATTTTTTTCTGATTAGGTTGTTCAATGGAGAGATACACGAAACTTCAAATGTGGAAGTTTGTTTGGTAGCTAGGAAAAGCGATTTGTATTTGGTTGGATTCAAAGGTCTTAGCATAGTATGAATTTTTTCAGTGACATTTCTAAAGGCATTATCAAAAACATATTTTTTGAAAATGGTCGTTATGGTATGCATGATTCTATATTCTACAACCTTCTTTTCACTGCATCGTATATTCTTCTTGAAGGTAGATAAAGGTAATGTTGTTAATGGTAGGACTCGAATTGAACTTGGCATCACTAAAATGCATTATTCCATCACAAAATTATATTTTCTCCCACAAAGTCGTGTGGAAAGAGATAAGATTGTTTCCAAAGTCTTTTTAGTGTATGTCCAGATGATTTCTGAGCCGCTTAGGCTAAATCCATTGTATTCTTGAATGGCTCTTATGCCACGTATTGACCGAGCGTGTATGATGTTAGTTGTGAGAACAAATGGGGTCACATGTCTGCTCGGGCGCACCAACAATCTAATTTGACTGACACATTTTCTCTAGCAGTTGTTTTGGATGGCGATGAGCGCCACAACATTTTTAATCTGGCCTGCGTTTTCCAGCCGCAAACATCCATCTATGTTCTCATCGCCATCCAAAACAATATTGTCGGAGAAAATTTGTCCGTCAAATTAGATTGTTGGTGCGCCCGAGCAGACATGTGTCCTCAGTTGTTCTCACAACTAACATCTTACGCGCTCGGTTGATACGTGGCATAAGAGCCATCTTCGTTAGGTTCTGCATTATATGCCATTCGAGAATACATTGGATTGGATTAAGCCTAAGCGGCTCAAAAATCATCTGAACATACACTATAAAGGCTTTGGAAACAATCTTATCTCTTTCCACATGATTTTGTAGGAGGCAAAATAATTTTGTGATGGAATAGTGCATTTTAGTGATGCCAAGATCAATTTGTGTCCTACCATTAACAACATTAGCTCTACCATCAAGATGAATATAAGATGCAGTGAAAGGAAGGTTGTAGAACATAGAATCAGGCATGTCATAACGACCATTTTCAGAAAAAATATTTCTGATAATGGTTTTAGAAACGTCATTGAAAACCAAATTGTGCTAAAACTTTTGAATCCAACTAAATACAAATCATTTTTCCTAGCTACTAAACAAATTTCTACATTTGAATTTTTTTATGTCTCTCCATTGAGCAACTTAACGGAAAAATAATTGCTTAAATCATTAGGATTCAGAGGTTGACGCTGCAACACTCCCATCCCTAAGTGCTCCGAACCCGTAGACACTAATTTTTAACATTTTTGTAAGTTTCAGTTGAAGCTCCATTAGTACTGAAAACTAACTAACTAACTAACAAACAGAGGGGAGAATAAAAATTGCTCAAAGAAGAAAAAGAAACAAAGTGTTGTAATTGAAAAACAAAAACACAAAGACACAATAACTGGTGATATATATTCAAATTAGAACAAAACAAGTGAAATGTAGTACTAAGAAAAAAAACTAAATGGTGAAAGATTACGTACCATTAATTTCTTGTGAAGACACCTTTCCAAATTTCCATTCGTCTGGAGATCCTATGATCCTATGTTAAAGCTGAAGAAATATCCAAATTAGAAATCGATTTGAATTAAAGTTCTTTCAGAGAATCCTCAAGATTTTCTTGCAGCTAACTTTTTGAGAGAGGAGAATTAAGATGATTGGAAAAGGGTAGGTCTGGTATAGACGCAAACTTCATTGAATCGCATCTACACACAACTTTTGTATTGTTGCTATAGTCGTGCCCACCCAAATTTTAATTTGGGCCTTATCTGACTTCAGATTTAGGATGTGACCTTGTACTTCCAAGTTTTTTGGTAGGGATGTAAATGGGTCGGGTTGGGTGCGGGTTTTGACAAACCCGAACCCAACCCGCATACAATTTACCCTGCCCGTACCTACCCCGTTATTTGTAGTGAATTTTGGGTTCGGGTTGGGTTTTACCCAGCGGGTTATCGGGTAACCCAAATCTTTAAATTTGGGTTTTACTTGGTACCAACGCGACCGACCCGTTTCATGTGAAAAAAATAAATAAAATAGTTCTACAATTAAATATAACTAGTATGAGTATCATGCAATACACGGGTAAGAGATATTCATTAATATTTATAAATTAAAAATTCTTATTAAGTAATATTTATAACTTAAAAATATGGAATCAATATGTAATACAATTACCTATACTAATTTATTGAAAATGTTATATAAAGTTTAAATTACACAAAATTACATAAAAATGTCTATTTAAAATTAGTACACAACTTGTGTGGTGCACATAAATGATAATAAATTACATTATATTCGTTCCTAAATTATGGTTTCAAAATTTTATTGTTTCATTACTTAAATAAATTTATTTTTGTATAAACTATTCAAATAAAAAAAGTGAAGTAGTTGAGTAATTTATTAAACTATAAATAAATGACTATTTCGTTTACGTCCAAGTTAATATCGAACCATAAGTTATTGAGTAATTTATTAAACTATAAATTGACTATTTCGTTTACATCCAAGTTAATATTGACCAATAAGTTATGAATAATTATTTTTTTATTTCTATCTAATTTAATACAAATCTTTTAATTTTTTTCATTATATTATATACCGAATTTAAGGGCATGCTTGTTTATCAATTAATTCACTCACATTTAATTCATACTCAAAATCTAACTCAACTTTAACTCATCCCACTATCTTTAATATTATTCATATAATTAAATAATACAAATCAATCATTCTTACACATCACATCAACATAACTTTAATTCACTATTCATCCACTCACATAATTTTAACTACCTATCATTTTCAATTATTTATCTCATACTTTTACATCAAATTAATTTTTATCATTTTCTTTAAATATTATTTTAGTACATTCTTAAAATCTCACTAACAACTAACCATACCACATTTTTCGAAATTAACTCTGGTTAACCAAAATAATTCACTTTGGACGAATTATTTTGTAAACAAGCGAGCCCTAAACAATGCAACTAATAAAGGTAATAGCTGCAAGTTTTGTCAATATATTATATTCCAAATTTAAATCATTCAACTAATAAACGTAATAGCTGCAATATTTGACCAAAATGATTGTGTACACTAATTACATTAATTTAGGCGGGATTTTTCAAATTTTGGCAAAAAATATTACTCAATATAGTAAATACTTTAGGCGGGAAATCAAATGTTTTTTTGCTGATTTGTAGTTGCTATTTCAAGTAAATATCATTGTCTCTTTATATATTAATAGATGTAACTAACAATTTATTAACTAAGTTTGGCAATAAAATGACTATAAAAAAATCTATATTATTTTTGGAATAAATATTGAGATATAATTATCTATTTTTATAGTCTAGTTAATAATATAACATTTAAAAATTAAGTATTCAAATTTTGTATTGTACAACTAAAAGAAAAATTGATAAAAAAATCTGCAAAATAAAATAAAAATTAAACCATTAACCAAATTATAATAGATAATTTAATTATATATATATATATATATATATATGTATATATATAAGATTTGATGTTTGCGGGTAAACATGTAGGAAAATCGGGTCGGGTAATGGGTTTTCTACCATCTCGAACCCAACCTGATTTGGGGACTCGGGTAGTGGGTTTTCTACCCGATCCCAACCCAAAACCCGATCATCCCGGGTTTACCCGACCCGAAAATGCGGGTAACTCGCTGGTAACCCTTATTGACATGTCTATTTTTTGGGTTTAATTTTCATTTTACAACATGCTCCAAAAGTTTGGGCTAATACCTTCCAGGCATATTTTGGTTCTTGAAGCGTGTACCAACTACCAACGAATTTTCACAAGCATGCATAAAAGGTTAATAAAATAATCATTGGCATGGTGTTAGATATTAGAAATGGGTTCAACATTGTCAACATTAAATGACATCAACCTCATCAGACTTCATGACAAGATTCATTGGAGGGTAAATTAATAACACACTCTTAAGTTGATAATGTGGATGATTTTTTATAATGTCAAAAGTCACATTGGACATGCTCTAAAAGGTTAATAATCATTGATAGGTGTTAGAAATTGGAACAATAATGTTTGCCCTAGTTTCTTGTATTGTTTATTTATTAATGAATTTTGTTTTCTTCAAATTTGTGAGCCGGATTACTTTAGCCAACTGGAAATGGCTGAGGAACTTTGTGTGGGACTTGTTAACACCGCTAAGTGGACATTAGATATTGCTTAATTTGCTTTTCCGACAACTTGAATCATTATCTGAGGTAATAATTTAATTATTTCCTTGGTATTCATTGCCTTTTACTGTATAATAATAACTTTCTTTTACCTTTTAATTATATTAATTTCTGAAGTCGGGAGAATCATTTCCACTTGAAAAAGATCCATCAGCTGCTAAAATGGTCTTCTTCTTACATTAGTTTGTTCAACTACTAAAAGATTATGAGTTGGCTGGTAAGGCGGAGGTCATTGAATATGAAAATTATCATATTCCATTTGGACTCGCGGCTGGGGTAAGATATTATGTTGAAATTTGTAAATTCAGTTCTTGATTCACCGAACAAACACACTATTTTAAATTGTAGGAAATAAGTTGTATACACTATATAGGTCGCATATGTTTTAGTTTGAATACTGTGATTATCTTCAAATTTGTGAGCCGGATTACTTTAGCCAACTGGAAATGGCTGAGGAACTTTGTGTGGGACTTGTTAACACCGCTAAGTGGACATTAGATATTGCTTAATTTGCTTTTCCGACAACTTGAATCATTATCTGAGGTAATAATTTAATTATTTCCTTGGTATTCATTGCCTTTTACTGTATAATAATAACTTTCTTTTACCTTTTAATTATATTAATTTCTGAAGTCGGGAGAATCATTTCCACTTGAAAAAGATCCATCAGCTGCTAAAATGGTCTTCTTCTTACATTAGTTTGTTCAACTACTAAAAGATTATGAGTTGGTTGGTAAGGCGGAGGTCATTGAATATGAAAATTATCATATTCCATTTGGACTCGCGGCTGGGGTAAGATATTATGTTGAAATTTGTAAATTCAGTTCTTGATTCACCGAACAAACACACTATTTTAAATTGTAGGAAATAAGTTGTATACACTATATAGGTCGCATATGTTTTAGTTTGAATACTGTGATTATCTTCTGCTTAAGTAGATTAATCTAATTTGATTTTTCTTTATATGTTGTCCATTGCAAATGGAGCTGGAAGAGTCATTGTTGACAATTCTCCTGGCATAGTACTAATAATGGACTAGATCAAAATGACTCAATTAAATTCTAGTGCTTCTTCTATTAGTGAAGTTCTAGAAAAAAAAAAATATATCAAATTGCGCAATGCACCTTGGGTCGCTACGGAAACAACATCCTTGTATAATTGCAAGGGTAAGGTCTGCGTACAACTGACCCCCCAGACCCCAACATGTTGGGAATATACTGGGTATGTTGTTGTTGTTGTTGTTGTTTGATTTTTCTTTATATGGTATGTTGACTGTGTATATTTAACATATTGTATCTTGATTCTTTTCTCCCAGTATTTATTTGTACTATCCTCCTGACATTGTATAAGTGCGGGTTCTATCCTCCTATTTTTTTTGCTTGCTGTTTTGTGGCCACGAGCTTTCAAACTCTTTCCCGGGACACAAAATAACCCATTAGCAGATAAAATATGATTTAGTTTATTTTGTGTCCCGGGAAAGAGTTTGAAAGCTCGTGGCCACAAAACAGCAAGCAAAAAAAATAATTGTATATGGGAACTCTAGAGCCCTTTTTGTGTTTCTCTTACCATTGGTTCTCTTGGGTTTCATCTCTAACCTACCCCAACTTGTTTGGGACTAAAAGGCTATGTTGTTGTTGCTGTAATGGAAACTCTAGAGTTCCTTGTGGCGAAGTTCTTATCGGAATTGGATTCCTCATTTCAACTGGGACGTTTTACTATTCAGTGATGCTATAGCCTGTAATGGCGAAGTTAGGC